GAATGGTGTTTTATATATGGATAATTTGTATTGAGAGATTGATATTTGGGTTCGAAATTTATGGGCTTAAAAATATGGAATTAGACTAATTGGTCTCTTCACAATTTTTTCAGGTATCTGGGCTTGGTTGACTATGAAAGCTGGGCCAATGGACCAGATTCATGTTTCAAGGCGCAAATATTTCTCTAGTAATTGTATATCTACAAATCAAATTGTGGTAGCCCACGTAGATATTTACACCATTTGCTTTCGTTCATTTCTTATAATCTTTGCTCGGATGTAATCTGCAAAATAAGGAGTCTAATAATTAATTTTACCCTTTATTCAATTCTCATTTATTTTTAACCAAGTCCAAACCAAGCCCAGGTGATCCCGCGTTCAATAAAAAACACAACCTATGGTCATTTAACCTAATAGAAATGCATAGTTAGTCACTAATTTTCGAAAATTCCTCATTGCCTAATTTGTTCATAGAATCATATGAGCGAACTTGAACTCAGTAATTATCATTGACTAGCTACAGCTAGTCTTCACCAAATCGGTATTAAAATTAAATAGAAGTGAATTTGAAATTCATTAGTATTTACTAATTTGCCACTGCAAATCTAATCAATTATTTTGAATTTTTTTTGTGTTGTTTTCAATTTATTTTTATAACTGTCCCCTTGCTCAAAATTTATGTAGAGCGTTTGCCCCGGATAAAATGTGATGTATACAGAGACCTTGAAGAAGAAGCTTACCCATGCACCCACCATGGTGACTACTGATTGGTCTCTTCCATTCGAGCTTATGTGCGATCGAGTGATTATGAAATCATAGCTTCAAAGATGCGACACACATTTTCAGCCCATATACTACACGTCGAAGACCTCGAATGATGCACATGAGAACTACACCAGCACAGAGAAGGAGCTGCTCACCGTGGTGTATGCCTTCGACAAATTCCGACCCTACTTGGTGCTCTCTCATGTGGTGGGCTACATAGATCACTCTACTATCCGCTACCTGATGAACAAGGCTGATGCCCAGCCTAGGCTCATCCACTGGATCATGCTTCTGCAAGAATTCGACATCGAGATCTGGGATAAGAAGGGAGCCAAAAATGTTGTTGCATATCACCTTTCACGGTTGGAACCCCTCCGGTGGAGAATTCCGCGGAAGAGATCAATGACTCCTTCCCGGGTGAACGATTGCTGGCATTGTGCTTAGTGGAGAGTGTCACCCCTTGGTATTTTGACTTAGCCAATTATCTGGTGGTCAAATAGTTGCCTAAGGGGATGGCCACTCACACCAAACGCAAGTTCTTCTCCGACCTGAAGCATAAATTCTGGGAGGATGCTTACCTCTTCATGATCAAAGCCGATGGCGTGATACAGTGCTGTGTGATGGAGCATGACTATCTCAATGCAATGAGGGACCCACGGGTCGTCATCATAGAGGAAACTGCACGACGCAGATAGTGATGCAGTCGGGCTTCTACTGACCCTCGTTCTTCAAGGATGCTGATACCTTTGCAAAATAGTGTAACTGCTGCTAGAGGTCGTGTAACATTTCTTCCCGAGATGAGATGCCCCAACATATTTCTGTTTCTTTTGAAAATTTTGACGTATGGGGCATCGATTTCATGGGCCCATTCCCTCCGTCTTTTGGTAATCTTTATATCTTGGTTGCGGTTGACTACGTCTTTAGGTGGGCAGAAGCATATGCCATGCCCACCAATGATGCTAGATGTTTCTGTCAATTGCTTAAGCATCTCTTCGCCCGATTCGAGACACCTCGTGCCATCATTAGCGATAGCGGCACCTATTTTCCAAGGCAATTCAAGAAACTCATATTTCGCTATGGTGTCACTAATAAGGTGTTGGTGGCCTACCATCATCAAACCAATGGTCAGGCGAGCTGACGAACCGAGAGTTGAAGCGAATCATTGAAAAGACGGTTGATTAATCTCGCAAGGATTGGTCCACCAAGCTCGATGATGCTTTATGGGAATATATGACAACATACAAGACGTCGATTGGTACTTCACCAAATCGGCTTGTCTATAGAAAGGATTTCCACTTGCCGGTTGAGCTAGATCACAAGGCCTACTAGGCCCTTAAGTTGTTGCAGGTACTGAACGTAAGCTGCATATGCTGGAGTTGCAAGAATGGTGTTACCACGCCTATGAGAATACCCGGCTCTATAAGGAGCAAACAAAGCATCTTTACAACGCTCGGTTAAAAGGCCCCAAGAAGTTTTAGGCTGGTGATCACGTCCTACCCTATAACGCACGCCTGAAACTCTTCCCGGGCAAGCTCCGGTCCAGGTGGTTGGGACGATTCACGATCATTCAAGAGTTCCTGCATGGCGGCGGAAGCGTGGTGGGCCCATAACCCACAGGACCCTAGATCAAAACCAGGCTCTGATACCAAAATGACACGTCCCGTATCTTTTCAAAAACCAAACCATAACTCAAACCAAAAACCGGTTACTCCAGAGCAACCCAAACCACATTTTAAAATGACAAACCGACAACATTTAGGAATTTTTAACGAAAAGCCCCAACACTTGGGCAAAATTCTCAATCTCAAACACTTAAAACGACTTAACACAGAATCTTTGAACCTTGAATCTCCAGTACACAAACTCATAATCATGAACAAAATAATCAAACTAAATCTAGCTCTAACTCCTTGCCGGTTTCCCTGAGGTCTCGTCCATGCTGGTGCGGCAGCTTGCCTCGCCCTCCCTCTTCTCGAGATCCGCCTCTGCTAAACTATCCTGAACATGGTGAGTGAGAAGGGGTCAGTCTCGTCATCCGTTGTCCTACCCTTGTATGCCAACCGTGTTACGTCTCCCCGTCCGGTTGCATACCCAAACTCGGCAATGGCACTGCGTTACGTCTCGCCGTCCAGTCCATGCCTGGTCAACTACTACGTTACCTCTCACCGTCCAGTAGTGACCCCAATATACTCGATCAACTGCTGCGTTACGTCTCGCCGTCCAGCAGTGATCCGACCATCTACCGCGTCCAGTAGTGGCCCAACCGCCCGGGGGTTCCTCATACCATCAACCATACATACATTCATACATAGCACAACGCGTACCTCCACCCTTACAGGCGGTGGGATGCCTCACACACATATCGCGCATACTAGAAAATTTAACTAAATAATAACTTAGCTTGAAACAAAAAGCATAAATTAAAAAGACCTCGACGGAGATTTTACCCCCTTTACACTCACCTCGAAAAGATGACTCCTCAATTCCTTCCTCGAAGAAACCCCTCCTTAGCCAGATTATCTTGGGGAAACCTATTAATAAGAAATTCATACTCTAAGACAACCTTTCTCGATTTAAATGCCTCCTTTTTATCTACCCAGACACCATCTACTCAAAGCCCCATCCTCAAGCCTCACTCCAAAGGTCCCTTAACCCCCTTTAAAATTTTTCTAGAAATACTCCCTTCAAAACCGACCACTTTTCCTAATTATTTTAGTCTTGGACGAATTTTCCACCTAACTTTAACCTTCTTAAAAATTCGGACAATAATTCTCATACATCAATCACGAGCACTTATAACCTGGAAAATTATCAAATCCTTATAAACCCCTCGGAAATATTTTTATTTAATTAAAACGAAAGTTTGAACAATTTCCAAAATTAGTACATCTTCAAAAATCCCTAAGTTAAATTACAGCCATCTCCTTGACCTTCCTCAATTTATAAAGTTTTAAAACTCAGAAAAAACCCCATAAGGACTCGAAACAATTTAAACCATCTAAAACAAATTTCTAAAACAAATTTATGGAAATTCCCTGCAGCTTTAGTGACCACCCAAATTCTGTCACTAAAGGACTGAACGTCTGTTGCTAAAACCTCAGAATTGCACCCTCACGAAAAACCCCAAATTAATCGACCTAAGTCAAAGCGATCGAGTTCCCTTACCTCTAGAACGTGCCTAGGCCTAGGTTGGATGACCCGGGACGTTGATCTCCTCGTTGATCGAACCATCAAATGTCACCGCTAATAAAAACGAGCTTCAAATTAGACTATCGAGAAATCGAGTTTAGAATCGCGAAGGGGTTCGTGATCCTTACCTAGAAACACGAAAGGGATGGGGTGGGAAATCGTGACCGGGATCGGGATGGCGGCTGCTAGCGGCACTGGGGAAAGAGGCGGGGTTTGGGTTTCTCGCGGCTGCTTGCTGCTACGCGGCGGGGGAATTTGATTTTGGGGCTGGGGAATTTTGGGATTTGGGAGGGTCGGGGGGTTTTGGGGGAAAAGAGAGGTCGCCCTCTCCCTCTCGGACCAAGGCCGCTTTCTATTTTTTTTACAATAATAATAATAATAATTATTATTACTAATCCGCGTTTGCAACTTTTTGTACGCAACTGTCAACCCAACCGATCACGTATTAAGGTCGAACCGTAACCCAAAATTCGGGGTGTTACGACCACCTCCTTCTCTATCTTGGAGGTGATGTGGAGCACGCAAAGCTGCTGTTCAAGCTCGAGGATCCTTAGTTCCTCCATCTGCGTCCAACTAAAAGATTTTATAGAAGCGTTAGTGGGGAGACAACCCCACCTCGATTTGCATTTTTTTCTCCATTTTCTTTTTGATTTCGTGTTTTTGTGTGTGTCTCGCGTCGACAATTGATTTTTTGTTCAATTGTCGTGTCGTCAGGGTCATCTCTATGATTTTTTGGTTTTTGTGGTCTGAGGGATGTTTTTGGACATCTCGTGCTGTTTTTGACGTGTTTGGGCAGAAAATGGCAAAACGATCCCAGAAGTTACGGGTTAGGGTGAGAAGCTACGGTCACGACCATTACTCTCTCTCCAGGTCTGTATCTTTAAAATCGTCTCTAGATCGTCTGGGAATTCTTCTAAGAAGTTACGAGCTAAGCATTGAAGTTACCGGCGTGACCACATAACTTTGAGCCTTGTGAGTTACGACCTGAGTTACGGCCGTAACTCTCCCAATGAAACTGTAACTTTGGCTTCGTTTATAAAAGAGAGCTACGCCCAGAACTCCTGGCCAGAAAATGCCACAAACTCCGCCGGAATCCAGCACCGCTGCCACTCAGCGCCACATATTTGCCCTTTTCCAGCCACCTCCCGACCTATGATTTCAGTCTCGTTTGCGGCGCCGTGATCGTCTCCGCGAGATGCAGCCACCGCTGTCGACGCATAATAAGTAGTCGGAGGAGTGGGGGGAGGCGGGCATAATGTGACTGAGCTCTTCTTGATGCTCAGAAGCAAGAATTCACGAACGACCATTAATGAGTAAAGAAAACATAGTTGTTCTTACACATTGTCGTCATTTATCCTTGATGCAAGTCGCCTCCAACAGCATCTTCTAAGTCTAGCTTTTGTGTTGGCATTCTCCAATCGTCTCCCTCACTCTACTCTCCTCCTTGTGTCTCCAGGTTGGTAATTTTTCCCAATTTTGTGTTTGTGGAGAATCGGATTGTAGGGTGTAGAGAGAATTGAACCGATTTTGCATGATTAGATATTTTAGGCGGGAGAATAAATCTGCCTGTGATTATCTGATTTGCACTACCTCTTCATAATCCGTTAGTTATCTTTGTCCCAATTATTTTGATACAAACAGGTCTCGATGTGTGTGTTGATTTGTTTATGCAAGAAAATTGTCAATCTGGATCATGCCTTCCTGCAGGGTCTCCGCTACACTGAGGCTTATGACGGGCCTTTCGCCAAGATGCTGCAGGGGCAGATTGGGGGCCACTACTGCCTCAATCTGGCTTACTTCCAATAGTTCCTATGCCGCGACGCAATTGAGGCGGCAATTCCTCACCAGAAGTGGAGGCTAATGCTGGAGATTTAGGACTACATTTTTTAGCAGCTCACTGTGGAATTCTAAAGCATTTTCTGCCACACCCGGAAGCGACAGACACATGATGTTGGTGCACTTAACTTCTCGCTCGGAGGTCAAAACCTCAGCTTGACCTATGGCGATTTCAGCACGACGCTCGGCCTAACTTGAAATTGTTGAAGCCATACGTGTAGAATCAACAAGACTGAGGGGTTGAAGTTTTTGAGCGTGGAAGAGAAGGTCTATAAAGTGCTTGTATTGGAGTTTCTTGGCACCCATACTATTCAAGATCTCTGAGGGGCCACAGATCTAGAGAACATTGAGTTTAGACTAGGAGGAGAACATTACCATATGTCGATCCAAGATTTCACTTAAGCTTTAGAAATGTATCCGCAAAACTTTGTGGACTCATTGGACAAATTTTCCACCTTGACTAGAGAAAGCGATTTACCATGCTTCAATGCTTTTTACAAATCTGAAGTCGAGGAACCCAAAATCTGGCTATGGGATATCATGTTATCAATGGCTAGTGGGTTGAAGATGGAATAGAGGTTGATCCACCACGTGATTGCTAGGTCTGTGGGTCGAAAGTATAAGAGCAAGAGTAATCTGACTGCCCGAGATGTTACCTTCCTTCATAGAATGCATACTCCTTAGGCCTTACACCTCAATTTGGAGATTCTATCCACACTAAAGAGCAATGATAAAGATCATTGACTTGCTGCATAACACGGTGGAGAATATATCACTTGACTCGCTCGTTACTTTGGAGTAGACTATTGAGCGGTTGAATTCTGATTAGACTCTAGGATCACTCCTACCTCCTTTGAAATCCTAAAGTCAAGGACCAAGATCTTTCTCCCAAACGATGATGGTGTATGGGGACTCCAAGGCTTTCCCTTCCCTCATTAACATATCGGATATGAAAGGTACGGTGTTCCGTCTCCCGATGCCAACCAACCGGCATGTAACAGGAGATGGTAAGGACATGGATGGTGAGGAAGGACAAGAAGAACGCGTGCAAGAGGAGGAGGTGACACATCAACCGACTTACCAACCGAAAACTTCACATATCAACCAAGATAGTGATTATACACCCAAGTGTTGATAGCGGCAATCATCAAAAATCAAAGAAGGGAGAAGGAAGAAAGCAACACCTTATGGCATGCATTCATGCAATTATGGAGAAGATAGAGATCCCTTTAGCCGATGTCTTCCCACCATTTGTTCGCTTACCTTCCCCTGAACCATTTATAGTCAGAGTTGAAGAGGAATCCTCTAAGGAGGATTAGGTTCTAGGCATCCAAGGTCTATTTTCTATATTTTATTTCCTTGCTTTTCTTTCGACTTTAAACCGTGTGTATTTTTTAATGCTTTTTATTTCCATACTCGTACTTTTAATTACCTAGTTGTAGTACTAAACCTATATGTCTATTTGTCTATATTATTTTGTTCCCCATGACCTTCAACTTTCTCTTTTGCTTATGGGCTTCATCATTCTATACTAACTAGGAAGACCACACTTGTGCACCTACACCAACTGATAACACCCAAATTGGTGTTATTTTCCCTACATAATTAGGTTTGTCTTGTGCTAATTCATGTGCATAATCATTGAACAGCGTCGATTGCATCCCTCTTTCGTTCCTATTTGATTTTGATGTGATTTTAGGGTGCTTTAGACAATGCATGCGAATTAGGTACCGAAAAGGATACAAGTGTAGCAAAAAGGGCAGAAGACTGAGGATCACGGCTTGTAGATGGAGATCATGGCCGAGAACCAAGATCGTGAATTGAAGGTGAAGATCCTGGCATGAAAGCCCAAGATCGCGACTGTGAATCGGGAGGCTTAGGGCGCGAACTTCTTGAAGAAGCAGCCGAGGAGAAACTGAGAGTTTCCCCAGTCAGATCACAACCATAGTTCAATCTGACCGGGAGGAAGTTCACGAACACGACTCATGGATTGCAACCGTGAAGTTAGCCTGCAAACCTCTCGTGTTTAAAGACCAAAACGGCCATTGCGGTAGATCACTCTCCACGAAAAAGATCGTGACCACGATCTTTAGAAGAACCCGTTCCCCCATTTGAGAGAGCTAATTTTGGGACATTATTTTTGGTTTTAGAGAGAGAAAAGAGAGAAAAGCTTAAGGAAGCAGAAGAGAAGGAGGAGTAGGAGGAGCTAGAAGAGAGGAGCCATCTTCCTCAACATCAAGGTCTTCCCCAAATTCTTCTATGTATCTTATTCCCTCCGTTATAGAGTAGTCCTTTAAGGTACTAGGGGTTCTAAACCCAAACCCTAGTTTTAAGGTTATTATGTAATGAATAGATATTTTAGGGTTTTAATGAATGAATGTGTTTATCTAGATGATTTGAATGCTTTCCTAGCTTTCATTGTGTTTGGGTAAGTCGTCCTAATCTTCTCTACTAGTCTACTTGAGCTTCTACGTTGGATATGGAGTTTTAGGGTTAGATGGGTATGCGCTATCAAGCAAATTGAGGTTAGATATATGAATAGAATCTTATGGTGGACGAAGAGACCGTACCCTTGCCATAAGATGCCTTCCTAGATAGAACTCGAGATAAAACCTCAGTATGGACGGTGGGTAGTACCTATTGAAATGAGCTATGACCTTAATGCCCCGGATACGATAGCATAGATCGAGGTTACCGACATGGGTTTAGGGGAGGCATACTCGGAGGCATGTGGATAACCACGAAAGCACATGGAAAAGAGCTCACTCACCAAATTCGACAAATCCTATTTATCTTAACATTTCATAGTACCCGCTTTTATCTTTATTTACTCTCTTAACTAGCTAGTTCACTCAAATTCTCCAACACAAACCCTTGAACCGATTGGCTAGATAATGACAACGTGGGGAGTAGTCTAGGTATCGGGACCCAAGTGAACACGACCTCGATTGCCACTATACGACAACGCCATTTTAGATTAAACTTGGCCTAGGATGGGGTAGTTGTTGAATGCGATCAAGCTTTTTGGCATCGTTGCCTTGGGACCTTGGTAACTAGTAGAAAACCATCGAGTTGTTAGTTTAGCCTTTATTTTCTTTGTTTTGTTTTGTTTGTGTTTTTTATTTTATTTTCGTTGTTTGTTTCGTTTTGTGTTTTGTTATCCAACTTTGTGAATCATGGGTTGTTAAGTTTTGTTTCATGCACCTTTGTAAGCGAACAAGGGAGTTTTTGAGATATTACCTCTTGATACAGAAATTGAGAGAACCCTTCGGAATCTAAGAAGAATTACAAGACATCAGTCTCCACCAATGGTGGATCATCAAGCTCAAGTTCCACCAAGTCATAGAACAATAGGATCTTACTCAAGGCCAAGTGTGATGTTCAATCACCTATTTTCCATCCAACGGTTTTGAACAACAACCATGAGATCAAGTTGGGCACAATTTTGATGATTCATAATGCGGTTCAATTCAATGGGATGATAAGTGAAGATGCTCACGCACATATCAAGTCGTTCTACGAGTTAACCGATGGAATCAAGGTAAATGGGGTTCCTCAAGAGGCAATTCATCTAAGTTTATTTCCGTTTACTCTGAATGGAGCGGCAAAGCAATGGTTGAATAACCACCCACATCAATCCATCACCTTGTTGAATCATCCATACAACAAGTTCTTCACAAGGTATATTCCACCCTCTAAGATGGCTTTAATGAGAAGCAAGATTACTATGTTCCGTCAAGAGGAGGATGAGCCATTGTTTGAATCCTGGGAAAGGTTTACATCACTCCTAATCAAATGTGCACACTAAGGCATCGCCGATTGTTTACTAAGTGGAAACTTTTCATAATGGTTTAACAAAAGAGTCACGCGACCTCATCAATGCTGCTAGTGGAGGTGCCATTAGAAATAAGGAAATAGGTGAAATTTAAAGATTGATTGAAGAAGCGGCCCTTAATTACTACGATTGGCGGGACGAAAGGAGAGGAAAGAGTGTGAATAAGGGAATTTTAATGAAAGTGGATAACCACCGTCGTTAGTGGCTCATATACAAGAACTTTGCAAGAAAATTGATCAAGTTGCGTCATCAATGAAAGGTTATGAGAAGTAACTCATGAAATGTGATTGGTGTGGCAAATCGAGTCACACTTTGGAAGAGTGTAAGTCTATGATTGACACCTCGATACAATTTGAGCAAACCAACTTTGTTGTGGGGGGGGGGGGGCAATCCCGAGGAAACAACCCTTATAGCTCAACATATAATCTGGGTTAGAGGAACCATCGTAACTTTCTTTGGTCTTCTGCGATGGATAGAAAGCCTTCGGGGTTTCAATCTCAAGCTCTTATGCAAAAATCTTATCCAAGTCCGAGTCAACCCTAATACCAAGGGGCATATCAAGAACAAATTCGACCCTCCGATGGTTGAGTAACTAAACTTGAAGACTTAGTATGTCAATTCATTACACACTCCAAC